GTCAGCAGAGCACAAAGTATTCAGGTATATTAGACGACGGGGTATCCAGTAGCTTGCTTAGTGATAGATGTATTTAACAAGCTAAGGACCAATCAACCCACTTTTTTTGCCATCTAATGATCAGGTGACCGTATTAGCGATTCAAGAGCACATGCTCCGTAAGCGCTGCCTTTATTTACAAATACGCCCTCCATTTGGACCTCTCGGTCTCTGCATCAACAAATTTGACGTAAACATCTTGCTCATAGGTGTTTAGAATGAATCCTCAGAAATGGTGTCTTTGGTCCGGTCTGCTGACGTTGCGCATGATGCATGGTCGTGTCTAAAGTCGCATTTTGAGACGAAAACCTTGATCAGCAAACATTTTTTGTCGACACTAACTCGTTACACTAAGGCGTAAAATTGAAAATGTGCACGAGTACATTTGCAAAGCCAAGAGACTGGCTCAGCAGCTCGACGCTGCGAGGGCTTGACTCTGGAAAACATCGTTGACACTCATTTTGCAAATCTGAGTAGTTGAACCACTTGCTAGACAGCACAGCCGATGGGAACATCGTTAATTTCATGAGGCACTCACATATCCAGGGTATATACGAGGAAGATATCTTGTCACTACGTTCGAAAAATTTTGCAACAAAGGATGGAAAGGATTCTCAGGATCTGTTGTGATAGCTGTCTCACTCATCACACTCAGCGTTCTACAAATGTTCTGGTAAAAGTGTGACGTCATAGACATTATATTCAATGCAAAACACAACGCTAGTTTAGCAAGAATTTTATTTTTGGACACTGACAATTGTGTCTGACAGTCCATCGACAAGAGGCGTATTGTACATGCTTCTGAGAAGCCGGATGCGTGCAAATGCTGGATGAAAATGTCGATCTTTAATGTGGATGTGCGGTCATACATGTTAAGTTTCATCTTGTCTACTGCCCGTGACCTGGTCGATAAATCTTGTCAATTTCCCGTGAGAAACAGTGACACCCTGCCTGCTGCAGTGTGCGCTCCGAAAGGATTCTATGGGGGTGGTAAACTATACTTAAGAAACTGCCTATCTAATCTGGACGCTTAACAGCAGTCCACATAAGCTTTAAATTATGTAAATTCGTCCAGAGCTACGCGAAATATGTTCAGACGCTCATACTTTCGAGCAGTGCTCAATCCTCAATCGCATGTGCTTGAACAAGCTGTTTGACAAATGGGTCAAAAGCGTCATGATCAGCATTGCTGAAATCAATGGGGAGAAAGAAGATGTATAGTTTATCAAAGCGTTCGTTGTACTCTGTATTGCTACTTCTTGTCCAAAGGCGTGACGTATCAAATAACCGTCATACTTGATACGCAACGGGTGGTGGTATCATAAGGTCCGCCGGTACAAATATTATTGTATGAGATATATGTCACATCCGTTTGTGGCAATGTCGATCGATAAAACAAATTGACTTACTGAGCACTTTTAACTGGCGGTGTATCTTATATATTTATGATACAATCAGGCGCGCCCGAATAGTTATGGTAGCGTCAAATTTCTGTAAGCGTCGGCGCACTTGGAGAGTTGCTAACGACGGTAGAAAGTTGACAGTTAATAACGATGAAACTCAGTTGGTCTTCTAAATAACGCATCCAATATTACCAACAATGTGGTATTTGTGGATCGACTTTCGCGGCTCCCATGACAGCATTCTCTCCAATAACATACAAAGCTGTTTCTTGTCAATGGTAGTTTCCAACATGTTTTGTCGATGCGCATTGTTTTGTATCGAAATCCGCGCTGTTTAGTAGCATTTTGTCAAACGTTTTTCAAAAGTATTGTATCAGATTTGATGATGTCCACCGCTGACGACCCTGGTGACACGGACTGTATAAATTTACTTCGTGAAAAAATTCTACGATCACTTGCGCGAATCAATCACAGCTTAAAGCAGATTGCTTATACTCATTGCATGGGCGTTCACTACCCCCCCCCTCATAATACACGGTTTGACCAGCCTCAAATTCATTTACATCCCAGCGAAGTGGTCTTGCTTGGCAAGCTTATCAATAAGAGATAAACTGCTGGTATCAGCTTATCTACGATTCACAACGCTATCAAAGATAGCATAATGATGAGATTGACCATCGTACGCCAAGTGAGCAAGACTATGGCTTACGGTCAGTATGCTAATGCCAAAGGCAGACATTTTGTTGTAGTTCGTAAAGCGTTTCTTCATCGCTGAAAACTGCATATCTGTAGTCGATAAGTTTAAGTTGTTATCGCTACACCAGACTAGTAATACTTGTAAAATAGAGATTTAACGACCCGATAAAAACGCAAACACATCTTCCGCCAAGGTTGACCAGCGTCTTACTTATACCCCTACAACCCGCCCTTGTGCAGACGATAAGCTCTGAACCGCATTGATTACGACGTACGATATCATACCTAGAAAAGCGAATTCTGGAACTGACTTATCTCAGCTTGATAGAATTGGTGTACTGTCAGAACGAACTGTCCGTTGCATTTACCAGGACAAAAACCAGTATTGGTCTCACTAATAGATTTGTTCAGTTTGCCAGAAAAGCCACGAAATGACATCTTATTCCGGCAAGATTCCTCTCGTACCATTTTTTGGTTTCGATTTAGCATAATTTTGTCTGTATAATTTGAGAGAAGTTTAGTATTCCTCTGCGAAAGGCACTCCCTATCGAGCAAATGGGGCCTGTTTGGTTATAAAACGGGACTGGCCAGTAACTGTATCAGCAGTTTTATCAGTTTGAGCATCCCTTTCGATGCCTATGTTCTGCCCTCAATCTTCACGGTTGAGCATCAAAAGGAGGCTTAGTCTGGTATTTGCTTTGCTGAAGCTAGATTTCAGGTCTGGAAGACGAGTGGGGCGACATGCCTTTGTCAACACTTACGTGAATACAGCATGTTACTCTCAGAGCTTTTGCTTTCCTTTTGTACGGGAGACTCAGTTCTCTTGAAAGATACGGATTTGTCCAGCTGCAGATGTTCAAGACGTAACTGATAGATATTTTTCAGAGAATATCAACAGAGTTGGTCAGTCGTAAAGTAGAAATGGTGATATGCCATCACCGACCTTACGTTCTTCACAAGAACCAGTGTGAGTGTAGCGGATCGCAATCCGCTACCTCCAAGAGTAGTTAGAACGTTAACCAAAGGCTACTCAACTCTTCTGTTTAAAACTTATCCTGGATTAATTTGTTTTATATGCGGCAAGGTCGCCTAATTTTACATATACCCCGTTACACAACATCTCACCCACCCTTTCGAGCTAGAATACTCCACGCTTGGAGGTAACCCGGCTACAGCCTTTTCAGTCATCTCGAGCTGGTTGCTATAATGCTGCAGCCAAAAAGTACATCTTAAAGATGGATCAATTTAATATCGGCTTTACTTTGGGACACTAATTCACGGTAATGGTGGACGGTTCACGGACGATCGCGGTAATGAAGAAAGGGAAACGACTCAAAGGAAGAAAGGGAGTGGTTTTAAGAGCGAATGCTTTGAGTGTAATCGAATTGGTTACAGAAGTGGGAATATTTGTGTGGAAGCGATGGTTCTGAGGATGATGCGGTATTTGCTATCATATTCGACAGATGGTTAATTGATAGCGGCACGACATCGCACATGACTCCGTACCGGGAGGACCTATGCGACTACGATGAGTCGGCCTCTAACATCAATGTGACGGCAAGAAATTGCGAGTCTCTGGAAGAGAAGCGTTTAATCGGACTGGATATGATGGCAAGCGCATCAAGATGCTGGCTGTTCTGTACATATCATGACTCGACAGACGGCTGCTGTCAGTTGGGATGCTTGCAGAACGCGGCATACACGCTGGGCTCACGCATTCATCATGTGTTTTCTGGGGCATAAGCAGTGCTGTGGTACTAGGCAAAATAGTCGATAAGGCATGTGTGCTGGACCGCGAGCAAGGAGAAGCGTTGTTCGTGGAGTATACTCGCGTTGACAAACAGTGGGAGCTTTGGCACGCTCGCATGGAACATCCAAGTAAGAGTGGTATGGTTAAAACAAAGCGTGACAACGAACGGTATGTCAACTGTGAGTCATGACATCAGGATTTATAAGGTGAATGTGTGAAGGGGACGCAGACCTTGACAATCGACGTCCAAGACAGCGCGTGTATTGAAGTTAGTTCATACGTATCTGACGGGGCCAGTGCGAGCGTTTTTGGAAAAAAAGTGCACGATACTTACTGACATTTGTGGATGTCCCACGTTATTTGAATGCGTGCTTTAAAAAAGCAACAACGAGGTTGTTACTATGCCTTCCGATTTCAAGGCACTCGATAAAAAACTAATTGGTGGAGCGAGTCAGGTGTCTTGAATCTAACATTGGAACTGAAGTCGCGAACAAGAAGGTCAGAGATATGTGTAGTCGGCACGGCATCATGCACCAGGGTACTGTACCATTCAGGCCTCAGCAAAACAGAGTGGTGAAACCGATGAATCGTACGATCATGCAGAAGACTCAGTGCATGCTGCACAACAAGGGTGTGTCAACGACATTGTGGGCAGAAGCTGTGAGCACAGCAGTGTATTTGATCAATCGGTCTGTAAATACTGAGCGATCGAACATGGCGCCATATGAGGAAAAGTATAAGGAGAAGCCTCAAATGGAACAGTTGCATGTATTTGGATCGCGAGGCTACGCTCGCGTCGACAATGCAAAAAGGACGTGAAAGCGTGTAAAGTCAAGGTAACATGATCGGTTAAGCTTAAGGACCGTGATGTGAACAGTGTATACAATATACTGTACCCAGGAAAAGAAACGACAATCCATTAAAGCAATATGTGAGATGCAGTAGCAGCCTCAATTCTGGTTGACCAACGTCCGGCGCCGTACGAACCCATGGAGAACGTCAAAGTATCCGCTCAAGATTTAACGGTGGATGAGGTCGAGTCTAAATTGAATACTAGCCTGCAAAAGCCTTTGGCATTTGAAGACGGGACACCGACAGGGTAGAAATTAGCAATGTACCGTGCCCTGCAACTGGTTTGAAAATAGATCGTTTGGTAATTCGTCCGGAGGCAAAACAATCAAGGCGTTTTGTGAAGCCAGTATTTTTACTAGAAGACGACTTGGAAGTGGATAATGAAGAAAGGTCGGAAGGGGGCAGCGGTCCACCATTTTCGAAGCGTCCAATAATCGACGAAGATGAATTGCTGAAGCAATATCAGCGTATGCGGCAAGAATTGACGGCTCCAGACACAATTAATCACAAGTAATGAGTCAGTGACATGGGAGGCAATGAAGGCGGAACTGCTATCATATTTGGTCCCTTGTTTCGCGTGAACAGCTCATCCGATTGGGTGTCGGTGGATTTTGGCCAAGAAGTGTACGCTATAAAGCACGGTTGGTGGCTTAGTGATTAAAACAAAAGTTTTGTTTGGATTAATTTGAGACGTACGTCCATGTGACCAATATGAATTCGATTTGTGTTGTTTATTCAATATGCACCGCAGAAGCTTTTGAGTTGAAACAATTATATGCAGACACAGCATTCACGAACAGCGAGCTGCAGGACCGTGTATAATATAAATTACCGCACGGCATCACGAACGCTGGAGATCATGCTTTCTGCCAAATAAGTTCATCTATAGGTTAGAACAGGAAACATGTGTCTGAAACAAAAGTCTTTGTGAAGAATATGAATATTTTCGAGGGCTGTGATGCAGATCAGTGCGTACATGGGAAGCTACTTAGAAACGGTGTACGTGGACGATATGTTATAGCGGCCGAGATTCGTGCTGAGATCTGTGAAGCTTAAGATGCTCTCATGAATGTTTGAAAGATAAAGAATTTTGGTGATATTGTATGGTTGGAGATCGACCACGACAAGAGTGCTTTCATGCTGACGATCGAGCAGATACGTTACATCGACGATGTGACAGAGCGATTTGGTTCACAGAACGCCAGACGATCGACAAGTTTGATGCTTTCAATCTCAAGCCGTCGGAAAATTAGTCAGCAGGAACAGATGCAAAAGCTACTGAGAAGCTGTCAAGACCGTATCGATCTTCAATCTAATGTTTTTATGTACAATCCGACAGACCGGACATTGCCTATGTCGTAAAGCAGCTGTCAAGATTTCTCGAGAACCCAGGACTGCGGCACTGGCGAGCTGCAATTCGTGTGCTTCGAGACTCGAAGACAACACGCTTGAGTGAAATCGTGTACATAAGAGTGTCTGGTACGATTATAGTCAAAGCGTTTATGGACGCTGATGGGGTAGCAACATCGATATTAAGCGGCCCGTGACAGGCGTAATAGTCAGGATCGGGAATGGTCCAGTGGTATTCGAGAAAAATGTAGAGAACAGTGGCGCTGAGCTAAGCAGAAGCAGAGTACATGGCGCTTAGCTTATGATACTGTTACTGTGGACGCGGATAAAGGACATGAACAAGGACTAGGAATCTGCCACCCAAGTCTGGGAAGACAATAAAGGGGCAATAGCACTGGCACAGAAGGCTAATTATCACACCAAAACGAAGCATAAACATCATGTATCACTTCACGAGAGCAACAGTGCGAAGGAGACGTTTAGAATAGACTACGTCGACAAGACACACCAACCCTCGGATATGCTAACCAAGGCATTCGGGGACAACTTTCTACGCAAAAGGGCAGGTATCAAGATTAAGCCAGAGACTAAGCGTACGCAAATTTTGCGGCGAGTGGGAGTGTTATGATGACGCCACTGAATGCATGTACGGGACAAGCGATGACGTCACAACGATAACGGAAATGCGTACAATGAGAATCGTGGTTACAGATATGATTACGGATGTCGCGGTACTTGTTCATTGGTCAAAATAAATCAGGTTACATTCAGTAGGCTTTGAAGTAGTAAGGACTTATACATATATATATATATATCCAACAGACCAACACTGATAAACTCGGCCTACTTATAAAAGATCTTTGAGAAGCTTAGGCGCAAGATGTATCACGGAATACATCCAATCTTGTTTGCAATAAGTGCAAGCCAATCGCTTGTGTACTAAGCGAGTGTATTACCTTTTTGTTAATTCGAATTCAACGCTTTATTGTATGAAAATAATATCGCTAGCTTGTTAGTAAACGCAGCGTTTTGATTAAACAATGCCTCGAATGATTATTACAAAATCCCTTTGAGCGATGCACCGGCGCGGCGATTAATATTCTTACGCTCATCTTCAATGTGATTGATCTTTTGCTTGAGTTCCTGCAATGAAAGAAAACGACGTTTTGTCACGTGCGAGTTTGCCCAAATGTCGTTGGTGATAGCATTGACGTTCTCCTCTTCGGGTGCCCCGTTTGATGACATTTTTTGCGAGGAATCTAACGACAAATGCGGTGACTCAAGTTTGCTCCGCGAATTTGACAGCTCTGGAGATTCATGACCACGCTTGGCAGCTTTTTCGTGCGCGACCTCTTCTGCAATTTGTTCCCACAACGCAGTCGTCTTTAAGTAAATTTCGAGAGCAGAAGCACTTTCAAAACGATCTTCACCCGACACAGCAGTTTTCGGATTTGCGCTTGACTTAAAGTAATCATACTCAAAACGTCCAGGTCGATAATACCATCCTCGTCCAATTAGCTTTTTCAAAACGGTACCAAATTTTAATTTGGGTAATTTTTTTTTCGTCATTCTTTTCAGGACTAGTAGCCTCAGCTTCAGCATTGTAGAGACATTGACCTGGTGAAGCATCGGAGGCCTTATTGAGAGATTCTTTTGTCTTCTTTGTCTTCTCCTTAACGGGCTGACCATAAAGTGCTATATTTCGCTTTCGTGTTGCTTGTTGTTCCAGCCGTTGATGGTACTTCTCCAGCGCTTTTCCACGCTCTTCCTCTACCACTAGTTCATGCTCTAATCGCAATGCATCCTCAATACGCTTCCACGTGCCACTAACTTTTAAAAAATCTTCCAGGTCTGCCTGAGATCGAAAATAGTTGACATTCTGTTCTTTTGTCGCGTCCGTGTATGTGGGTGAGAAATAATCATACTCGAACACTCCACTTCGATGGTACCAGCCTTCATCCTGGAGTTTTGCGTGCTGCGTTTACCGTCACGTGCTCCACCCCCATTACGTACGAGGCTTGAAATTCTTCTTCCTCTGAATCATAATCTGATCCAAACAGATCCTCCATTTCCTTGTCTTTATCAATCTTCTTAGGTGATATCACCCTCTTCTTGTCATCCCCATCCTTGTTGTCACCCTCTTCGTCGCTATCATCGCTAAAGAGCTTATCCGGATCTGCCGGTTTGACACT